TTCTGCTAACTGTCTCCCATTGGAATTCCAAACCCACCAACTGGATGCCGTGAATATTGCGTCAAAGTCACCAACTAAACCAGACCAGTAATCGCTTGTACGCTTTGGGTAACCAGAAACCACTCTATGCTCTTCAATTTGCCAAAAATAATTACCTGTTTAGAAACATAATAAAAGTGAAATCAACAACAGTGCAGTTACTATACCATGTTTTAGTATGTACAATATTTGCCTGATACACGGGCTCTATCAAGTTTCCAACTTGTTTTTGTTCATTTGTGATATTATTTAAAAACCAATCATGATGACACTAGTGTCTTTGCTAAAACAAAGCAAAATATATGTAAATAGTTTTAATTAAATTACACAGTTTTTGTAAGTGCATATTTTTGACATATTTTAAAAGTACATGCACTCTTTTGAGAATGTCATAGTTTTATCAATTTCCTCGCACTATTGTGAGAACGTTTCACATTTTATTCAGAGTCTGAACATTCGGCATTGTCAACAATCAACACAGTTTTAGAAAAACTCGGAGTATGTCCAATATTGGAACCGTTCAAAATAAATAAATTGTGTCTCGACATGGAAGTAAATCCACGACGTTTAACATTCTAATGTTAAATATTCAAGTTCAAAGATATCATAACTGACCTTATATGATTTACTTGTCATAATATTTGAATTATCTTTGATTTATAGGCTGATAAAGTTTCTAACTTAGGATTTATCTGTATCCATGACAACCGGGGCAAGGATGTGTGTACAGCAACCTGTTGGTGGGGAAAGGTGACTATGGGGTCAGAGTTTATTGTTTGTTTGTTTGTTTGTTCATACATGATTAGTATGTGGATACTCTGTTTCAAACCATTTATTATGTTTTATTATGGTTATTTTGTGCAATTTTGTTTTCTGTTGTTAATAGTCCATTTTAATTATGTCTTTGTTTTTGGTGTATTTTGTTGTGAAGTTCTATTTTTGTTTAAACTACCATTTTTATTTTTTTTATAGCCGTTCATTGATATTAACGTAGTCTTTATTATATTTTAATTTATCTTTCTCATATTTTGCTTTCTGTTACTTTCCATCGAGTTTCTACTCTATACAAAGCTTCTATGATGTTTAGTTACCTTGAAATGCATATGTGTTTCCATCTTTTGTTTGGGTAATGGCGTCAACAGTAGTCGGACACTCTGGATTGGGATTGGGATTCGGGTTCGGATTAGGCTTCACTATTGGCTCCAGTGTTGTTGCTTCCGGTATTTGAGCACCTGGAAGTAGTGAAAATGAATGTGTTGTTTTTAGTCATAGTATTCATTCATTGTATATGATCATAGTTGACAGCGATCAAACAAATAATGACGTTCACTAATTCAGGTTTGAAAAAGTGATCTCACCGTACAAGAACTGGATGCCAGCAACGTCATCATCGTGAAGTTGAAAGTTTGGATTATAACCCTGGTGGTAAGGAAACATGAGGGCGCCATTTACGTTGGTATGACCCAGACCGAGACTGTGACCGAATTCATGAGCAGCCACCAACCATAGATTAATACCTATGAACATAACATAAAACAACGTTCAATTATTCAGCAAATGACACTTGGTTTTAATACGCCAAATGTCATTTTAGCGTTATTTTAGTTACAACTTTTGGAATTAACATAATATCATGAGAACACATTTCCAAAACAATTGTTAGAAAACATCTGTGAAGTTTGAAAAAAATACCTGTGTAGGAATTCGCTGTCCATTGTTCACCGTCGTCAAAATGGGCATCCCCCTTCACGTCACCGTACGTATAAGGATAGAATGCGTGTGCAAGTGTCTTCCCAGGACCGTCAAATATGGAATACCGAAAACCGTCGGCATGAGGGATATACGGCTCTGGAAATGATATGTCGATGTCCGCGGCCATATAGGCTGGTACTTGTTCAAATCTCAGGGGTGTGACGTCAGACCATAACTAAAATGAAATTAGGATACATTCTAGAGGTAATACTTTTAGAGGGTCGGCAAGGGGTATTTTCGTAAGCTATAGTCAATTGTTTGTATTTTTGTAATAATGTAATTTAAATAAATAAAAACCCAAATGTGTATAATGTAATCAGCTATTTTATTTTTAATTTGTACAAAGATTTAAGCGTATAAAACATTTTCCAAATTAAATGTCGTAATTTCCAATTTTGATTGTTAAACTCAAATTATCAAAAATATTATAAAAACGTAAAATGTAATTAGGAATTTGCTTTATCTGTAAAGTGTAAAAACCTATTTTATTTCCTGTAAAAACGTAAAATGACGTTTTAATTTCCTGTATTCTGTACCAGCTACCCCCCTTGCCCCTCCTTTTAGTATGTTATGTTAACGTATTGGGATGCTACGTCATGTCGTGTTATGTTGTATTGTTTTGTGTTGTTAACAATACCTTAAATGCTTTTTCAATTTCCCTGTCGACATCTGATTGGGATAAGAAAGGACTTCCAGTGTATTTAGTTATTTTGTAGGTTAACTTATTCTTTTGCCATTTGGCAACCGCCATGTATCTTTTCTTGCGACCATCACTTGAGTCGATATCGGCCACATCACACCGTGGAGCATTCATCATAGCAAGGGTAGCCTCGTCCGCTTTCCCTGTATGAAAGAAACTTTAACTCAATAAAAGTGTTCAATGTCACAATGTGCTACTAGCACAAGTGACCTCAAATTCGAAAACTTTAATTGGAATTAATAAGAATGCTAATAAAATGGTTTGGCATTGAAATTGTTTTCAAAAGTTCCAACACTCTTCAACAACACGATTTAGGTATAAATTACTACAATCACGAGACAAACCTGTAATTTCTAATCCAACGAATGCTTGAAATCGTGAGACGGCGTCTGTAAATGTGTCCTCTGTTACTATAGCATTATGGTGTATATCCATGTAACCATAGTGATACAAGAATTCCTGTCAAGAAAAAAAGCGGCATCAGATCAACAGAATGGATAAAGTTGTGGTGACGTCACGACTCGCTCGAGTCCGTCTTGGGTTATAGAATCACCCACCCATACTTACTTATTTTGATAGTAGCAAAGTAGCATGTGCAAGGTACGAGTTTATATAATAGAAAATAAACATGATTGGTATATTGTGCATGCTAAACAGTTGCATTTACGGAGTTACGGACATCTACCACGCTCTGACTTTTGCAAAACCGCGCCCAATAACTCAAACTGTAATTAACAGTTATCAGTTAAATGTAAATGAACTTTTTGTTGCTAGAAATTCGAGTTACGTGTAATATTCTTTATTCTAATTGCGTGATTACGGTCCGTGATTCACTGCAAATACTTGATTGTGATTGGTCAACAGGTCTGGTCATGTGATAAATACCTCCAGGGTTCAGTTAAGGGGTGTTCTCAAATTGGCAAAGTTCACCAAAAAAAGGTTTTCCATCTAGGATTATACATCCCCCGGTACACGAAAGTAGAATATATTTGAAAGAATTAAAAAAACGACCTTTGGCACTCCCACAAAAAAATAAAAATATTTTATGCTTTTTCGGCGAACTTCGACAATTTGAAAACACTCCTTAAAATCTACAAAATACGTACTATGGGGAAGTTCACGTTTGTGTTCTTCTGGAAGAATTCGCGAAAACAAGAATGATCCTATCGTATAAACAATATACCTCCCGCTCCAGATACTAGTAGTACCAACAGATTATTTTGAATTTCGAAAATCATAAAGTATGAGCACTAACCATTGCTCCTGTTACGTCTCTTAACGGCTGGGGTGTCGGCGACAAGGTTCTTGAGACATTATTACTTGGTACAGACGCAGTCCATCTATCATAGAGGGACTGTGGTGCAGATGAAACATTGTGGGTGAAGCAAATTACGAAGAATGCTACAAATAACTGCAACCAACACAACGTTAGTATATAAGTGCGTGGTGATGATGACATCTTAATGTAGATACAGATCAAACAGTTGATAAGTGTTTCCGTCAGTGCAGCTCTGGGTGATGTGACGCTCAGACCACAAGCTACCCCCTTTGTAAATTACCGTAGTTCCGCCATTCATTGAAAAAAGGTTATGCATTGTTGATTTTCCGTAAAGATGAGTCACTACTCTCTTTTGTTCACTTTCACAGGGTCGTTTTTGGCACAGTTTTGTTTCGTATTCCCTGCAATCTGATTGGTCACTGATTATGTCACCAGGAATATAAACAATCCGCCACTTTCAATTGGAGTTCGTGCTTCGCTCGTGGTGGTACACAACACCAAATAAATGATGACGTATTCAATCGAATTAGACGACGATTCACAGCCTTACGTGTTTTTGAAGGAAGATATAAATCATGATTTGAGACAGCACTTACACCGTGACAGGAGGCAGCTGTTTACTAGAACATGAAGAGTGGGGACCTGTCGCCCGAACTCAAAACATCAACTCAGTTTCAGTGATTTTAGGGATTGTTTTCCCGACAAAAGTTAACCAATATCTAGGGAATGTTCGGGAAAAGTAACCCATTTCAGCGGCAACCCACGTATACGTCCCCGTGATGCTACAGAAGCTAGTCCGTCGAGCTATTCCCGTACCCGATATACTCGCACTGGAAAATACAATATGCTATTTCATTGTAGAACTATATGTAAGTCGTGCGTAGTACGTTACTAAAAATAACATACTATTCACAATGATCGGCAAACATGACGTCAT